GATTGTGTACGATGGCAAGACTTATGGACGATTCTAAATGAAATGGGCACACCTGGCCATCTAATATCGTTAATCCAAAAGTTATACGACAACAATACAGCCTATGTCAGAGTAGATGGAGAACTAACCAACCCATTTAGAGTGGGTAAAGGGGTCAGACAGGGCTGCATACTAAGCCCACTACTCTTTAATATTTATGGCGAGTGGATTATGAGGAAGGCGCTCGATGAATGGCAGGGAGGAATCACCATTGATGGCATCAAAATCTGTAACCTACGCTACGCCGATGATACGACACTAATCGCTGCGTCAGAAGAAGAATTGATCAGTCTCATACGTAGAGTTGAAGCGACGAGCAACGAAGTGGGTCTACAAATAAATAAGAAGAAAACCAAAATAATGATAATTGATCGCCAAAATAACAACAGACCTGAAGTAAAACAGATAAATAACATCGAGACAGTTGATACCTTCATATATCTTGGCACCACAATATCGAACATGGGCGGATCTAGCGAAGAAATAAAAAGAAGAACTGCCATAGCGAAAGAATCCATGACCAAACTAACTATAGTGTGGAAAAGCCATCAAATATCCCTTAACACTAAAATAAGATTGGTCAAAAGTTTAGTGTTCCCAGTCTTTCTCTATGGATCAGAATGCTGGACGCTGAAAATGAATGATAAAAGGAAGATAGATGCATTTGAAATGTTTTGCTGGCGACGAATGCTGAGAGTGTCCTGGACCGAGAGAAGAACCAACCAATCCATCCTACAACAACTTGGATTTAGGAAGAGATTGAGCATCGTTGTCGCAGAGAAAATTGCAAAATTCTTCGGTCATGTGGTTAGAAGAAATGGCCTTGAAAGACTCACACTGGAAGGAACGGTACACGGCAAAAGATCAAGAGGAAGGTCGCCCACAAGATACACGGATCTTATAAAGAACCTTACCGGCAAAAACCTCTGCCAGTCATTCAGTATGGCAGAAAACAGACAGGAATGGAAGCTCACCACAGAAAGCAATCTATGAACTCACGATGCTCGAAATCGAGCAAACGACTAAGAAGAAGAAGAAGAATAAATTACAGCTGTAATACTGTTTTAAGCGATTGCACAATGTTTTATCATGGGAAAATGCTGGAAATAATGTAGTAGATAAATTAAATGGACACACTTCGAACACTGTTTTCGGAGCGTTAGCACTGAAGATGCCAAGTGAGATTTTGGCGAAACGTCTGCAGGATTCCAGTCGGAGTTCAACGAGCGAACGGATGATATCCCGGAATATAGTGTCATCACATTTTTCCATCCGTGAATCAATACGTAAATATATATATATATATATATATATATATATATATATATATATATATATATATATATATATATATATATATATATATATATATATATATATATATATATATATATATATATATATATATATATATATATATATATATACAGGGTTTTTCAGTTAAAACTCCGCACGCCAATAAGTCCAAAACGAAAAGAAATATTTAATTTATGTAAAAAGTAGTCAAAGTGTGGGGTCAAGTAGATATTTCCTAAAGTTTAAAAAATTCGACGCCTGCAAAGAGCTGGGCGTCGCGACGCGTCGAAAAATTATTCGATTGCAGAGACTTTGGAAATACGCGCATACAAAAGTACATATTATTTAAAAACTTTTTTGTTATTTACTCAAACTTATTTACTTTACCCGTTTCTAAGTTATACCGATTTAAAGTACACATTTCTTGATTAATAAAAAATGTGATTAACGCTTATTTTTACAAGTATGCCATGAATGTTAGTTACTATGGCAACCATTGTTATCGCAGTTGTTTTAAGTGCAATTACAAACGTAAGTTGTTATTCCTGTATCAAAAAATTGTCACATTTTGTCACAAGAAATATCCAAATTTGTTTGGTTAAAAAAAAACTAAGAATTATTATGTGAAAATGGTGCAATTTAGCAATGAGGAAAAAGTAGTCATGTTACTGGTGTTTGGAGAATGCAGATGCAATTGTAGAGAAGCAAAAAGAGTTTACGTACGGCGTTATCCGCATAGAAGAGTCCCCGATGCAAAAACCTTTTCAAGTTTATGTAAAAACTTAAGAGAATATGGCAGCTTCATAAAACCTAAAAGAGATAGGAACAGGACGGCTACAAATGATGAAAATACTGCTGCTGTAATTCGGCAGGTTGATAATAACCCCAAGATATCCCTATCAGAGATAAAAGAAAATACCGGTGTTACCATAAGTTCTTCGTGGAGAATTCTACACAGAAACTCTTTTCACCCGTACAAAAGTAAACTAGTTCATAAACTAGAACCAGGCGATTATGCTAGAAGAATGTATTTCTTAGCGACATTGTCCGATTTGTATAGCCAAGATGCAAATTTTCTCTCGAAAATTTTATGGAGCGACGAAAGTCGATTTAAAAATAATGGAATCGTTAATAGACACAACTGTCGTCGAATTTTTTAAACTTTAGGAAATATCTACTTGACCCCACACTTTGACTACTTTTTACATAAATTAAATATTTCTTTTCGTTTTGGACTTATCGGCGTTCGGAGTTTTAACTGAAAAACCCTGTATATATATATATATATATATATATATATATATATATATATATATATATATATATATATATATATATATATATATATATATATATATATATATATATATATATATATATATATATATATATATATATATTTTCACGTATTGATTCAGGGATGGAAAAATGTGATGACACTATATTCCGGGATATCATCCGTTCGATCGTTGAACTCCGACTGGAATCCTGCAGACGTTTCGCCAAAATCTCACTTGGCATCTTCAATGCTCGCGCTCCGAAAACAGTGTTCGAAGTGTGTCCATTTAATTTATCTACTACATTATTTACAGCATTTTCCCATGATAAAACATTGTGCAATCGCTTAAAACAGTATTACAGCTGTAATTTATTCTTAGTAAACCGATTATCCGCTCCCATCACGCATTTCTCGTATTTGTAGTATCTTTATTTGCAATTAGAATATTGATATCATCGGCCTGATTTGACAATTTTGACCAAATACATACAATTCTGTATATTTAATGTAATGTAATCTATGCTTTTCCTCTTTGATAGTAGCCGATTTTCGCCCTTGTCCATAATCACTTGCTGCTTTCTTTTTGAAAGGTACGATTCCACCCACCTTAAAGCCACTCCTCTTATTCCATACATATATGGTTTATTTAAAAGTATGTCATGGCAGTATCGTTCGCTTTTGAAAAATCAAGAAAAAGCGCTAAGGAGATTTCTCCATTGTCTAAAACATCAAATACATGTTGTACAAAGGTAATATTGTTATTGTAATATCTAGCTTTCGCCCATGGATACAGGCTAAATCATATAGAGAAAAAAAAAGATTTCATCAGAGTTAACAATCGAACCAAAAAAAAAGTAAAAAAGCTTACACAACACGCCTCTTTCAACCACTACACATAGAGAGATGACATTGGTGTATAAAATAAAGTGATTGGTTTAATAAAATATTTAAAGATAAAAAAATAAAATAAAAAACGACACTCCGTATTGTCGAGAAGGAAACTAAATATGCGGGAAATTATGTTATAAACAATTCGCAATAACCTAAAAATGTCGTTCTTAAACCGGTCAATGCTACCAACTACACAGCCAACTCTAACGTATGTAAAACACCAAACAAAGGAAGGAATTTCAAACACGATAAAATTCATCCATATATGCAACCCATTGTACACTATTTATATAACTATGTTTTCATTATTGAAGTTAACGTTAATGGCAATTAGAAACAATCATATAGGTCGGGGAGAAAGAACAAAGAAAGGAAACTGTTACAAACATTAATAATAATAATTTAGCACCCATTATAACCTAATTGTATCAAAAAAATATCAAAGCGCGAGCATTGAAGATGCCAAGTGAGATTTTGGCGAAACGTCTGCAGGATTCCAGTCGGAGTTCAACAAGCGAACAGATGATATCCCGGAATATAGTCTCATCACATTTTTCCATCCGTGAATCAATACGTGAGAATATATATATATATATATATATATATATATATATATATATATATATATATATATATATATATATATATATATATATATATATATATATATATATATATATATATATATATATATATATATATATATATATATATATATATATATATATAAACGGATTAGTTCATCACAAAAAACACCAGCTTTATATTCATTGTATACCATTAGGTGTTTTACTGTAAAGGGGGATGTTGAGTTCGTAATAACGTAATACTGGTACTTTTGGAAAACCAATTGTGAGCTTATTTTCAACTGTAATGATCAGTAAACATTCTAAACTATTCTATTTCTGATCCTGATACCATGCATCTGGGGTGAAAACTTTATTAGTATACCAAGGAATACATTTTGAGTAACAATTTTAACAAACAAATTTGAAATAAGAGTCTGAAAAAACAGAATACTAAGAAACTTTTCGACTTGAGCATTATATACTTTTTGCAAACATACAGGATAGCGATTTTTAAATATAATAAGATCGCATGGCAAATATTTTAGAACTGCTCATCATTATATATCGCTTTTCATGATTATTGCAAATGTGATAGATTATGCAAATTTAAAATGTAAATATAGCATTTTTATTGTGAATTAGTGAAAAATTAAGGTTTGCAGATGGATACGTATAATAGGAAAGCCTTGTAATTGGTCAAAATAAAAAAATAATTATAGTATATAAGATTTCACAAACAAATAAACATAAACCGGTATAACATAAACATAAGTAGGAAGTTTAATTTAAATTAGAGAAAAAATAACAATTACGAAACTGGAGAAAACGCCAATAGAAGCATTAGAACTGTCTTATTTTATATTATTTTTATCACTATTTATTTATCTATATAGTATAAACTAAATTTCTCAATGAATCCCACTCACCTTTCGCCTATTCCAAACAAAAATCCAAGAATCTTCAGGTTCCAAACGGCAGCTGAAACCGACGCCACACAAAAAGTCACTTAAAACCGATTCATTTTCAATTCACGAAAATCGCGTCTCAAGTCTACTCTATATAATGGACGGTGGTTCCGCACTTTTCGTGGTCGAAGTTTTTGCAGAAGTGCCCACGACACTTCTTCAGGGAGTCGGTCCTAGCAGGACGTATATTACTTACTTTTACGCGTCTCCCACCAACCCGGCCAGAAAAGCAGTACCGCAGAAGACCTTGGGGTCGATTCAAGTTCAGCGACGGCGACACCGAAGCCTTTCGAGAGCTTTTGCCATAATCGCCCTCTTGCGGGTCAATATCGCGTTTGCCGAATTTGATATTTGATTGATCTTGACGGTGAATGGCTTTTGTATCATATTAAACATATTGTATAATAATTTTTCCTTCTGCACATTACAGTATCTTCTACTTTAAAGGACTTATTTTTCGTTGGTTGTGGTTTATTGAAATGAAATTATATTAAAGTGGCTTTTTTTTTCTTAAATTCGCTTATTTTACTTTTTATATATTTTAAAATTCAAATTTTTAGAAGATTGATTGATTTGAAAATAATTTTTAGCAAAAATTATTAAGATCACCAATCTAATATTTGAGTAATGATATGTATTAAGAATAACAATTAATAAATATTTGTTAATTTTGTATTTATATTATAATTAAATAAATGCGTAGATACAAAAACCGAATACTGAGTAGGTATGACATTTTAAAAAGTCAAAAATATGGTATTTTATAGCAACAATCGTTCAAGCTGTCAACCTTGAAAATTTAAGCAATATTTTTAGTAAATGAAAATTTTTTTTTTGTGTTTGCTGGTTCGGAAAATGATTTTGCGCTATTGACAAAAAAGTGAGGTAATCAATAATGAATTTAAGTACCGTAAGTATTTCGTATGCTAAATCAAATAACACTTTAAAATAAGATTAAGGCGACAGATAGACTTCGATGTTTGATAGGAAAGCTTCCTACATGAATATAATATTTTCGTAAGTAAAAAAATCTTTCAGAACTTTTTCCCAATAACATAGAGGTGATATATCAAAATATACTACAATCGTAATAAAAACAAGTACAATTTTATTTGAGACTACTGAAACAATTGAATTTTAGTAGACTCTTAAAACATGTGTAAATTTTTGACTCCTCCATTCTCCATAATGTAAATTGAGCTTATTTGCCCGATTTCAATTAGTTTTGAAGAACATGTTGATTTTGTGTTGCATTCATTTATATAAAAAGTCCATTTAAATATATTCAAACTCTGTTGTTAATGTTGGTAAGTTATCGTGAAAGCGGAGCGGTTATCAGTAGAAGCCATTTCTGTTGATTGATGATCGTTTTTGTTGCAAGGGTTTTTTCTAATCAATACTGAACTAACAATGTAACAGCATTGTTAAACCTATATTTTGTGTTTTTATATATTGTTCTAAAAATGCATAAATGAAGAATCGTGCAGGAACTGTCATATGGAAAACAACATTCATTCTAGGATTAATATAAATAATGGAAAATATACATTGTTGTGGGGAATCAATGAAGGTTTCACTGGTCGAGGTACAGCAAAATCTCCGAGTTCGAGATAACAGCTTTTTATTTATTTTTTTAAATTCAAAATATGCAATTCAAATTATAGCAATTTAACATTGTTATTAAACAATGTGTAATTTAAAAATACGCAAAATCAAAATCAGTTCAGAGGATACAAATTATTTTAAAATTCTTAGTATACTAAGCGTACATATTCGGAAATCAAGGGACGTCAAATCTGGGGATATTAATGGTCATACTATAATACGTAAATTTAAACTACAGTGAGTGAGAACCCTGCCTACAAGAACTAAAGTGATAACCAGCAAACTAGTGAAAAAAGGATTGTTATTGGTAATCATTGTATTCCAGCCCTTGTGGCTGTTATGTCTGGGCTCCTGGAAATTATATTTAACATGATTATTATATGTGATCAATTTTCTGAGATCAAACAAAAAAATGATAAAATTATATTCTCATAAACATAATATTTCAAAAAGCAGCAACATGGATTTTTGCCGGACAGGCGACACCGACAAACTTTGCTATTCTGATACAGTTGCTGAAACTATTCTTAACAAAAACCAATTAGAGTGCCCGAAGATATTTAATAATGTTTCATCATGTTCCGTTTCTCTGAAAGACCCTGTAAATTTATGTTTAGGTGTTACGCAGGAACCAACAGAATTCAAAGTGCTTTATGCCTTCATCAGGCGTACTTCAGGGAAACAACCCGGAACATCTTTGGCTTGTAAAGGATTTTCCAGATTACTTTTATTCCTCTAACAGCCCGATATTTGCAAATGACTTTAAACTAGGGCTGTTACATCGAAAGCAGTGAAATTTTGATTAAGGGTTATAGTGATATTGTCTCAAAACGTACAGTGTCACTAATACAAGCAGATTTTTGTAGGTCACCTATAATTTTGAGTGTAGGGGTAGACTAAAATGAAAAACCAACTTGCCACTGGGTTAGTTTTCATTTAAATAGGTCATGTTTGTAACGAATGTCAGATTAATTGCGATAAGTTAATATTTAACAGAAATTTTACAATGAGAACACTTGTACCAGCGCTGGATAGTGTGTGTAGTCGACAGATTGGACAAATACGTGGGTAGAAATACATAAAAGTAAAAGTACACAAATGCCCGTTAATATCAGGTTAACCAAGCCTTCCACGCTGCTGATATTTGCCGTTCGACCATAAAAATATGAAAAAATATGTTACATTCGCCCAGCGAAGCACATTATTATATGGAATTATCGTCAACGAGACGAGAGTTATTTCCCTCCGTCGCAAAGTATTGGGTTATTCGAAGAAACCCGAAATAAAAATATATGGAATACTATGCTCGTGACCTACGGTGAACTGGGAATCCCGGTGGAAGTCATCTCCACAAACGTAAAGGAAACAAAAAATCGAAGAACCTGTTTCCTTAATAGCCTCCGCTATGCGAGCAACATTTTCATTGAAATAAACTAATTCGGGGTTTGGCCGTGACAAAAGTTATTTTGGAAAAACTGGCGCTTCACCGAAAATCCGTAACGCGTGACATCACCCGTTATCGAAATAACAATCTCTCAATGATCGAATCGGTGAAAACGCATATTTCGCTCTTTGCTTCGGCGTAAAATCTTATTTGTTATTTAAATCTAAATTAAAAAATTATCTCCTAAATAAATAAATTCTTAACTAAATCTAAGTTATACTGTACTGTACTTCATTAGAATTCTGCTACCTTTGTAACAAATGAGCAAATAGAATTGTATATTTTACATGCTTGGTTAAAAAATTAAAAGTGGTTTCTATTGTATTCTGTTCTATATATTAAGTTAAAAATAACCAACGCTAACCAAAAGTAACTAGAACCAACGATTTTTTCAGAGAGTTTTGAGAGAAATTGTTGATTGTTTTATTTTTCCCCGATTTAAGTAAACTTTGCAGTTCTGTTTTCAGCGATGCGAGGTTGTCGCCTCTTCCAAAAAGTAGTACCATCTTTGAGATTTTAAACGGGTTGATATTTTAAAAGGCTCGCGTTGAATGATATACTATTGAAAATTACATCTTTTTGAAAAACGAAAATTAGATTTTTCAAATACAATATTATTCTGTGCGGTTCTTAATTTGCGGTCCTTGGATTTTCCCCTCCGTGGAAAACTATTTCGAGCAATTACTTCAAAATTTAGTACCCACCTACCACTGTATGGTGTGTCGTATTATTTGCGAACGAATAGAATTTAATTTTAAATATTGCAAATGAAAATCTTTAGAATAGGCAACTTAACAATTCCATGTAAGAAAAAAACTTCAACATTTAAGGATATAGAATTACTATGCATGAGGGTTTAGCATTTTCCTAGAATTTGAGGTACGTTCCAAATTTTTGGGAGTTTTAGCAAAATTTACAAAATAATATATTGTTCTGCAAACTCTGGTTTTGGCTTTGCATAATAGGTCGTTGCACTCTGAAATCAGCGATAACCAATTAGGCTTCAGAAAAGGTATGGGGACTAGAGACGCTTTGTTCGGTATAAACGTGTTAGCGCAAGGATGTCTCGACATTTTTTTGTTCATTTTGTAAAGGCGTTTGATAAATTTCATCACCAAAAAGTTGTAGAAATATTACAGAACATGAGCATTGATAGTCGGGATATCAGAATCATAGCGAATCTTTACTGGGACCAAACAGCAAGAGTCAAAATTCAAGATTAGCTTACAGATGAAGTGGAGATTCTGCGAGGCGTGCGTCAGGGCGGTATTCTTTCTACGTCACTCTTTAACGTATATAGTGGGACAATTTTCAGTGAAGCTATGGATCAGCGACAGAAGGGTGTTATCACAAACGGACAGATTTTAAACAACTTACGTTATGCGGACGACACCATTATAGTTGAAGTTGAAGATCTGCAAACCCTGCTGCAGAGGCTAAATGATACATGTGAAAGCTAAACATGAACCTTAAGAAGACTAAATACATGATTATCACAAAGAAAGTAAATGATAACGAAATTCTTACTATAAACAACATAACGATAGAAATACTTGTAGCAGTCTCATACAATCTAAATTCGGATAGAAGTAGCCAAGAATGCTTCGATGCTACGTTTTTTCAATATTACTTACCGGGTCAGAAACACGGACACTGAAAAAGGCAGATATGGATAAGAAAGATGGTGTTAGAAATCTACGAAGTAGTGCAATTAACCTAATTAACGCTATTTTGAAATTTAATCTATAAAAAACATACATAATATATCATTATCAGCTTCCTATCTGCTCGTTGCTTTGCCTTAAGATAAAAAGTATTTTTTAACCTGTATTTCACATTGAAACAGGAAAGAGTAATAATCTAAATTTCGAGACGAATTAATTAGGTACCTAATTTTGAACTGAGATCCAGAAGATAGTAGATTAGAGCAGTTTTAGATTGCGCAACTTTTAGAATATTGCAATAAAAAGTAACTTAACAAAACTAATACGAATTCACAGTTCTTTAAGGGAAGAAAAAAAAAGAGGTTTTGAAATTCAGAAAATATATGCAAACATATTTTTAAATGAACGACACTTGGTTCTAGACATCTTGTAAAAATATGTCTAAAATGTAATTTATAACCTATTGTCGTGTTACACTGCTAAAATCTCAGTTAATTATAACCTCCACAGATAGAATTTGCAAACGAATCGATCAATCGAGACTACCATGTGTTCTTCGAACCAGTCAAGGTCGATAAACATTTCTACCTGCCTACCCAATTTTTTTTATTGCGGACTTGATGAAAAATCACTTTAATGGCTTTATAATTGAACTTGATGGGCGAATAAAAATAAAAACAAATGACGGCACACTACAAAAAGTCTCGATTATGGCCGCATTTACACCAAAAAGCACCAAGCTGTTGTAAAAAACATTGCGGAGAATGCAAACCGCACCATGACACCGCCACAGTGTCCGCAACCTTCTAATAATTTTTTCTCCTGCGAAATGCTAATTGTTTTTCGTGAGGATCCGACTCGAAAAAAAAATAAAACTTCTCAATATTCAGTAACATTAAACTTTGCATCGAATAATGAGCGTTAATGGACGAATAAAGCTCAATGACGAAATAAAATATTGTTTACTTGGAAATTATATCAATTTTGCAATTAACTATGTCCGTATAGTTGCGTATATTTAAGTGCCCTGCCAGTTGACTATTCTTTTAATGTGGTGACAGCAAATTGCACACAGCAGTCTTGTACGGGGTGCTTCAAATATCGAATTTATTCTAGCAAGCAAATAATTTGGTGAATATTTTGATTTTTTTCACAATGTGATAACAATAAAAGCTGTTTTCACGCCTTTGATTGAAGTTTACCCCGTGCACCACAGAACAAATTTCATGTTTACAATGTTTCGTCGCATATTGGAAATTGGCGAAGTCTGTCCAACATCTGTAGCTTAAACTTGTGTAAATGCTTAAAATGTAGATATTATTCTCCAAGAGGATTTGGTCCACTTTGGTTGCTTTAACTGTTTCCCGTGGAGTCTTTTAAGCTAAACGCGACAATCTCTTTTTTAATGTGAAGGGGTGCCAACCAAAGTATTTCATTTTCCGCATTCTTCTCTTATGATTCTTTGTTTTGGTTAGTTAGCGCTTGCTTCACTTTTAATTTAAAAACGTGTAGCTCTATTTCTGGTATGATTCAGGAACTGAAATGGATTCAAATCGACAGTGTGAATATCAGGTACAAATGAAAATACAATTTGCCCCGTTTTGCCCACAATTGTGTTAATTTGCTCAATTCTTTTCCTGACGAATTCCAACTTTTTAACATTGGCAAATTTAAATACACATTGAAGCTATGTCTTCTCGAAATACAATATTCTCATATATATACCAGCTACACACGCTGATCATAAGGTGGTGTGGTTCTGGACAAGGGACTGCAACTACTGGACCAGGTGACAGGCCACAGAGCCAGGCGTGTATGGCGATAACAGGTTCCCTCAGGACAATGCCTGATTCAGTCATATAAACCCCGGTCCCCCATACAACATCTGACGGGAGAGACCACCAAGCAGGTGGGTTCAGTGTAAGACTGACCTAATGGTATACTGACGGCTCCCGAACCCATAAAGCCGTTGGCGTTTGTATTTATGGAGAGTGCCAAAGACCGGAAGCATCAATCGGTCTTGGAATATATCCCAGCACATGACGGTTGTGTGTGGAAGATGAGGAAAAAACAGAGCACATACTGTGGAGATACCGGACGCTGAGAAGGATCAGCTACTGGAATTTGGGCGCTGAAATCCTCAGGCATGAGAATCTAAATAAGTTACCTCCTTATAGATAAATGATTAGGTCGCAGCGGAAGGCTGGAATATCGGTCACACAAAATAAATGCTAATCCCAATATTACTATTGTTTCGATTATGTGAATTTATAAAATAAATAATTAATCATTTAATCATTGTGGAGTAACACTAAAGGAGTGGCGGTTGTTTCGTCAGAAGCCGCCGAAAAGGTTTGAAAAGTATTTTAAAGAAGGTAAGTCACTTCCCGAAAATGCTAAAGGTGAAGGTAAAGAAGCTGAAAGCAAAGAAAGCAAACCAGAAAAAGAATTAGCATCTAGCAAGCCACCACCCACTTCTAAACCTCAAGATCAAGTTGAATGACTTGACAGCGTTATACTTTTTCTAGATATATTGTCACGTAGTAGTTAACATAATAAAATACCCTGTTTATTTGTATATAATTTATTTTGACGTTCAGGTAACATTTTGCTAGGAGCTGAAAAGTTTCCATTCAATCCAAAATCATTAACATTTATTTCCAATTTCTAATGAACGCGACGTTCGCCTTCAAACGATCGTCTCCGTGCGTTCGACACGTCGAGTCTGGAGATGATCCTGCCGCCTCTTATCGATTGGGACGGCGCAGAGTGCGCCCGTGAATCCGATCAACCCCAACCCTGAAAGCGACGCTCTCGACGCCAAAAAGCGTCCCGAAACAGCCATCCCGCTTTGCCGCGCATCAGAGGGAGCTTTCCTGTTTTCAGTCGAGCTTTGGCTAGCGCGTTGGCGTAGTCCAAACAGCTGCCGATCGAGGTACTGGCTGTTTATTCACCCGGTGGTGTTTCCTACTGGTTTCGCAGCTGCAGTCCGAGAAAGAATTTAGTCAAATGTTCACTGCCTATTCGTAGAAACTGTTGCCTTGAAATCTTGCTCGCATATAGCGACTAATTCGTTCCATGCTGGGTTGACACCACGTGACAGCGGGTAAGTGAAACATGGTTTAGCCTTGCAATATGTTTGAGACGCGCACGAATATTATGCAAAGTTTGGCTGTTGTGAGATAACAACTATTGTCAATATTTTTACCAAATAATCTACCTACTATTAATAATACATTTTTCAGGTGCTTTCCAGTTTTTTAAATGATTGTTAGTAATCAGAGTATGCACTTTTAGAAAAACAAAGTAAAAGCGAAGCCAGTACCATAAAATTATAAAATGTTTTAAATTTTTTTTATTGATAAACAAAAAAGTAGACACTACATTTTCAATGACGATTAACAATTTAACTTTGTAAACTCAATTTACTCCGTTTTAAATTTGAAGTTTGTTTTGAGCGTTAGTTTTCCCATATTCTGAGCACTGAATCGTTTCTTCTCCTTACGATATCATAGACCACTGTACCAACTTGGTATACTATATTTATTTCAACCAATCTTAGCATAAAAATCAAAGGGCGTAAAATCTGGTACGCATCTCCTAGCAAGTATTTTATCGACACAAGTTCAGTGTTATCTTTAGGCAGCAGTAATAGCTAAAACTTGTATTGAACCGTACTATCTCGAAAACAGGTTTAAAATAATCGCAGGTATCATGTACCAGACATTTAAAATTTCTGAGTCCTTTTATTGGACTACAGAGAATAAAAATTCTCAAAAGTATTCAGGTAATATGTAGGTTAAATTAAGATAATAATAATCAGACTAGAGTTTAAGGTTATGGCCAAAATATAAATCAAGAGTCTTAGTATTCTGTTAGGAGTTGCACTGTGTTAATACAGCTTTAGTTCTACATTATGGAATACAAAACATGTCGTGTTTGAACATATAAATTAAATTAAAACTCAAAAAAATTATATTTTCTTACTCCATGCCTTGAAAATTAATATTTGGAGCGCCACCTAACGGAAAAAAATTGAGGTACATTGTTCCTTAATGAAGCCAATCATTCTAATGCAACTATTATTGAATTTTGTTAGGAAAATCGGACTCCCGAATCTTTAATATCAGAAACCGTGTTTAGAGAAGTACCTACGTCCTAATTTGAAATAAAAGGGGGTCAAGATGCGAACCCTGCTTGGACACTCCCATTTAAGTCCCAGTTTATGCTAATCTGAATGTCTACAAGGAAGTATTTGCCTACATCAAAATCTACTTTTGTTGTTTCAGACCATATATTTGCTTAATATCGACCCTATGATGCACGTTCCATATAACATATAAAAACAGTCAAATATTTTTTTCATGGGGAAAATTGAATTTTTAATTAGGGTTACCAAGTGTGTTTATTTATTATTATTAACAGTTATACTATTAAAAAAACAATTAGAAAATAACTATAAACACTTCCAAGTAATGACCAGTAACCAATAGACTATTTAAGCCATAGTTAGTATCCTTAAATGGAACATGAAATAAATCCTAAGACCGCGTCCTGAGATTTAGTTTAAAATTCAATTTTTAAAAAACAAAACTATAGTCAATGTCACTTGAACATGAAGCATAGATTAGCATGCAATCTTTACGTTTCTAGAGTATTTGAATGACTGTAAACTTTAGGTCCTTTAATTCAATATATTTTCTAATAGTTAATTGACAAAGGCAATTCTTAAAAACGGATGGTAATAAATTGACGCTAGAAGTACTTAACTGTTACATAAAATCAGGCTCTTAATCCTCTTAATCTTTAATTCAATTCACCCCTTTTCAGGGGTAATCAAAATTACTTGTTGAATATTTCCTAGAGAAACATACAGATGCATTCATAACATTTAATATCGAACAGTGATACCTTGAATTTATATCAGACTGGAGAGTCAGAAATTGAGGTATACCTAAAAAAACGCCAATATCTCGTGATATAAAACCAAATTTTTATTTTATTTAGATGATTTTAAAGCATCTATTTTTTTATTGGTTATTTACAAAAGTTAAATTATTTGGAATATCAAACAAAATGGTGGCTTCTATTTTTATCTAAATATATCAAACCAAGGAAAAAGAAAAAAACAATATAAAGATATCTTGCCTAATTAAGTGGATCTAGGGCATACCAGAGCAGACAGTAGTGATGAATGATGACAAAGCAGCCCATGTAGAAGAACATGCTGGTATTCAGTAAATTCGGAATAGTAACTAAACTGGGAATATTCCGTGTAAGACACCAAATCAGCCAAAAAACATCTGACCATTATAAAAATAAAAGACCAAAATGACCCAAAAACAATATTCAACGAAATTAAACAAAATTCCATTAACCAAAGCAATGGTCCGAAACTATTTCTAAATGTAAAAAAGCTAGCTAGCAAAGCGGAGCTGTGTTCGTTGAATGTGAAAACGACGTACAACAAAGTAAACTAAAAGAAACTTACGAAAAATAATAAAAGCTTTGTTTTGAAAGAAGCCCAGAATATAGATCCCTGTATTATGATAATTGATATTGAAAAAGGATGTAAATGGAATGAATTTATTTCACTTCTGGAAGAAAATATAGAATTGAAAAAAAAATTATTAGAAGAAGGAACTAAAATGATGAAGCATATAACAAAAATGGATTTAAATATAGTTAAGCAAAACTGGATATTGCAGATCTAGCCCAACATTTTTGTATGGTTTATAAAGAATAAAACAAATTCTATTTAATACATCCAAATCTGTATTCCATAGGTAATTCTCTGTAGATCTAATAGAAGACTTATGTTCGAAAAACGAATGTGATATTTTATATTTTCCTTCAGGGTTATTACACTGGCAGCTAGTTTTTGTAGATAATTAGAAAATAAACATGGTGGAAGTGCAATATTTGTGAGAAGCAATATTAAATTTAAGGCACGAAAAGACATTATTGATTTAAGTGAGGAATTTATTGTCAAATGCGGTGGATGTGAGGTACAAAGTGAAAATAAAAAAAAAGAATAATAATTTTTGTTCAAAATAAACAAGACGAGAATTTTAATGATATAGTTATTATAGTGGAAGATTTCAGTTTGGATCTCATGTCCGAAGCAAGATAACAAGTAATAATAGTATCTGAATTGATAATATACCAACAAATTTCGTTGGTAACATCAAGTTTTACATAAATTGATTTCACATCGCACTACTCAGAAGTTAGCATTATACACTGAAATACAGACACCTGATTATGTATAAAAAATAAATTTAAACATAATAGATATAAGATAATAGATATAAAATAATAGATATAAGGAGCCCAATAGAACAAAGAAGAAGGAATGGAACTTTATACACCAATGTCATCTCTCTATGTGTAGTGGTTGAAAGAGGCGTGTTGTGTAAGCTTTTTTACTTTTTTTTTTGGTTCGATTGTTAACTCTGATGAAATCTTTTTTTTTCTCTATATGATTTAGCCTGTATCCATGGGCGAAAGCTAGATATTACAATAACAATATTACCTTTGTACAACATGTATTTGATGTTTTAGACAATGGTGAAATCTCCTTAGCGCTCTTTCTTGATTTTTCAAAAGCGAACGATACTGCCATGACATACTTTTAAATAAACCATATATGTATGGCATAAGAGGAGTGGCTTTAAGGTGGGTGGAATCGTACCTTTCAAAAAGAAAGCAGCAAGTGATAATGGACAAGGGCGAAAAAAAAACATTACATTAAATATACAGAATTGTATGCATTTGGTCAAAATTGTCAAATCACGCCGATGATATCAATATTCTAATTGTAAATAAAGATACTACTATATATATATAAATATATATATATATATATATATATATATATATATATATATATATATATATATATATATATATATATATATATATATATATATATATATATATATATATATATATATATATATATATATATATATAAATTGACACATGGAAAGAATTTTTATTTGCCTAAAAACGAGCTGTGCGAACTATACTGCAGCTAAATTTTCGAGAGTTATGTAGAGAAGAATTTAGAGAAAACAAAATTTTAACCTTAGCTGTAATCTTCATAGAAGAGAGTATATAGCGTTCGTCTTGAATTATAGAAACCTATTTGAAAACAGTGAGTGTCAGGAATGTTATAGTTCGAGAACTATTTTACATATCCCGGGCACAGACTGATCGTGAAGGGGAAGGGTGCGTATTATCAGTGTGTTAGGTTTTATAGTAATCATCCGAACAACATAAACACAATTAGAGATTTAAAAATGTTAAAATTTTTAACTAACTCGTAGGAATAGAACCATATAGCATAGAAGAATACTATCGATTTATTCAAAGCAGATGGAACAACCGCTGCAAAAGACACTATTTTAATGTAATTATCCTTCAAAATAAAGATTATTTATTATTTTGATTATTATTGTTCTTATTAAAGGGAGTTTTGTACACCCTTAACTATATTTTTTTCTTTAATATTTTCTTTTTTAAATTTATAAATTTATTTTAAGATCAGGTTGTATTATTTTCATTCGGCAAGTTTACATTTTTAGTGAGACACTTAAAGAACTGGCGTCTCATTGTAACCATTTTTCTTGTAACAAAATAAGAATTTTCCGGGGTACCCCAAAATTCCTTCGTTTCAATCATCTCGGCCCTCACGCAAATGCCCTTATCTCGTTCCATCTCGAAAAGCGTTGTTATTCATGTATATGAGTCTGCGTTAACAAGCAGATGTGTTGCTTCAGACAAAACAGCCGAGCAAAATGGGAGACACTAAGAGGTGACAAGATAGATTAGCCATTTTTGGTTGACGTACGCTGTACGCCTCTAAAAATCCCGTTCGGGTTTAGCGTGTCCGCGAAAACAGATCCAGGCCAAGGACGACGTTTAATAAATGAGGATCATCAGATTGACGCCCGAATAGCACTCGTTCTGGCTGTAAAGCCCGATGTAGGGCTTAAATAAAGTACAACAAAAGACGTAGCAGTTATTCAGTCAGGGGTAATTATTTATTATTTTTGTATTTATCGACGGAGGAAGTGTCTATTATTATACACACCAAAGCAA